TTCGTTGTCTTGTAACGGCATATAGTGAACGACATTTAAATAACCTGTTTTGGCATAATGAAACAAGAGGAGAGAGGAAAGGAAGGAAGGAAGGAATAGGAAAAAGTGACGAACGTATGGAAAATGAGATGGTAAATTAATACGAGTGAAAAAAGAAAGGAAAGATAGAAAGGAGCGTGGAATGAACACACGAAAGTAATTATTTTCCTCGCGAGTCTAACCGTGTAAAGGCCGCAATGAGTCACCACTGGATAAGAGAACGCGCTGAGATTCTTCCGCGGTTTGTCGCAGTGCATGCAGGGAATTACCGAGACAGTACACGCAATACGCCATGATAGGTTTCGTCCACATCCCTTCCAAATGACAATAAATTATTACAGTTTATCATTCAACATTAAATTACTTTCTTATTTGATAGTGTATATCTAAGAATTCCATACTCGTAAAAACCATGACCCTGAGAACTTCAAGTCTAATACAGCAACAGTATAGTTTATATAACAAATGAACGGGAGTCAGAATAGCTCAGTCAGTATAGTGACTGTACTATAGCCAAATGAATGGGAAATCGGTATTCGATTCCAGCAAGACAAATTGTAAAAAAGTAAGTAAAAAGTAAAGATATCCCTGTAACAGGCCGTGAAGGCCCATAGGGTTGTGAGAATCTGAGGTTCCAACATATTCCATATAATCGGCTCATAGATGGTGGTAAGGTTGTCGATCAAACGCACCGGCCGCGCTTTACCCCCAATAATATTCTTGGTACTCATTTCTGTTAGAGGCTGAGTCGACCCCAGGCCCATAGTGCGGCTGGAAGGATTAGGTCAGTTGAAAAAATCCAATGACCTCTTCGGGACTTGAACCCGCGACCTTCCTGCTTGTAATATAGTGCCTCAACCACAGGACAGATTGTATCTTCCAGACCTAATCTGGGACTCACCAAGTCTCCCATCCACAATATACCTGAGTCCTTTTCCTGCGGCTAAACAGACGGGGGTCCTGCAACTAACCGTTCACCTCCGAATATGTAGATCTGATGTTCAGAATACGTGGAGTTAACACGTCCACATAAAGCGACTTTTAATTGCGGACATATGCAGGTTCTCGTTTAATAAATGAAAATGCTCTCAGTATAATTTTCAACGGGCAGTGTAATAGTAAATTTACAGTTTTTATTGTCTACTATCCATAAAACGTTGACTTGAAATTTCAAATATGATGTAAGAGTGTACGATATTTTCCCCTGTATAAGTAAATTCATTTGTTCCGAACAGAAATTGTGTTTCCCATCGATATATCTTCTTAGTAGCACGGACAATGTTAATACGAATCTCATAGCTTTCATAGAACAACCAGTTAAATGGGACCAGTAAATCTCACTCATCCCCCTCATGCAATGTCCTGACTTCAGGAATTGCATTTAAATTACAGAACTGGATTGCGACTGGCTGTAATGTTGTTTGAGAAATGTTACCGAATTGTCTGGCTTTCCTTCTGTACCAAAATAAAATCCAAATCAGTGGCTTAGCAGACTTTGATGTGAACATTTACCATAAACACTGAGTATCCGAGACGCCTGAATGGTCCACTGGAATCGCGGGTGCCGCCTGGGACACAGATCAATCATGCAGCACTATGGTAGAGGAACCCGCAGGTTCAAAAGCGGCAACACCGCAACCTGTTATAGGACACTAACCAGAGGCAGCTCCGTCCACCTCACACCCTCGCAACCTCCTTACCTGATAATGGAAATATAATGGGTCACATAGAACACAGTGGCTTCTCGATCTATGGCATGAACGAACTTTGCTCACTCGAACTCTGGGATCGTGGGTTCGAACCCAGCTCAAGGCACGGATGTCCATATTGTGTGCATTTATTCTGATTTATGCTGTCCTGTGAGTAGGTAGTGACCTTGCGTCGGGCTCATCCTCCGTCCAGGAGTCCTACCGACTGAGTACAAGACCATGAGACTGAAAAAGCGACAAAGGCCCAACAAAGGGCTGTAGAGCCATTATAATAGTAATTCAATTCAATTCTTTATTATTTATGTGCCGAGTCAACAGCCGCAAGGCCAATTACAAAGAGAGCACAATAATAATCATTAGCATAGATAATGATGTTTTTTCAGTATTCGTTATTCACACGTATTAGACAATTGTTGCACGCAGTGGGAGGTATGTAATGCATGAGAAATTTTAATCAGGAAATCTGATAGGAAGAGATTATTTGAGAAACGCGGGTGTAGAAATGAGGGAACTATCGAAGTGCGCCCTAACGTAACTGGATATGGTGATGTGGGGTGGTTTGAAGTAACTCAAATCAGAGACCATAAAATACTTGCAATTTCTTGACTAAATTAGCGACTACCAGGTTCTCAAAAATAAATTTACTTTGCGAAATTACGTATTAACCTGCCTACACCTTAATATTTGTTTATTGTTTCCAGTATTTCACAGTGGACTGAAAAAAAGGTTCATATATGGAAGCAAAATATGTAGCAAATCGATGTGTTTACAAGAAGGTCGAATTTTGTTATGTTTTACAATTAACTAAATCTTTATACAAGGTCTTTCTACAAAAGATATTAATCAGCTGGTTAAGAAATTGCCCGATTTACTGGAACCAAAAGATTAATTGCTGTATCCTGTTAACCCCGGTCTAGGATTCTGTCCTCAATAATCTGGAAGCCCTTAGACCCGAACACATAATTCGTAAGAGGTGTTCTAGCGCTATCCTCTCTCCTGCATACAGCATATGCGTCGCAAGCCGTCGGGTTTTCGGACCTAACTGTCGTATAAATTTCTTGCTTGTTACACCCAATGAGTGATGTGTATCCTTTCCATTTTATCATTCTAATAATGAAGGTGAGAAGCCTACCAACATGAAACTCTTCATCTCTCTTCTTTTCCCATCCTATTTCCCTTTACTTTTTTTATGTAAAAAAACAAGTTTAGTAGTGGAGTGGATAATTTATCAATTCTCTGTACTTTTCGGCGTAACACAGACCAATAAGGCCGCTCCATAGCTCAAGCGGTTAGTCACTGGCTTCCCACCGCGGCGGCCCGGGTTTGATCCCCGGTCTGGTCAAGTGGGATTTGTGGTGGACAAAGTGGCTCTGGGGCAGGGTTTCTCCGAGTACTTCGGTTTCCACTGCCAATCTTAATTCCACCAATTGCTCCACAATCACCCTCACCTATCATCTGGGGCTGGTGCAATAGGCCAGAAGTGGCCGCAGTACAAAGGACTTAGTCCCACCCCACTAGCAATAAAAAAACACAGAAAAATTTTTATATGTTTTTCCATTATTGTTCTAGAAATCAAATTTTACACAAAATTTCAAAATAATTGACCACGTTCTGCGAACTTCATGACGATGAAGCCACAGTTATGCTAGTGAGAGGCGTTTGAGCAGAATGTTAAAACTGTACGCGGTGCTCATACTCCAAGTTTCTGTTTTGCAAGTCTGCTGTTCCGTTTACTGGAATGAAACTAGGAACAAAAACCAGCGGTCGCTGTAAAAATGGCGAAGGCACCAAAGGCTCCTTGCGCTTCCAATCCCGTCTCACACTTGCAACTGTAAGTTACTTTCAGAAACGTTTTAAAGATGTAATATAATAAACCAGAAGCACGAATTTTATGTGTGCTGCTTGTAGCTTGATGAAAAGCTCTCGCAGCAACTGAATGGCTGAATGCCTGGCCAACTTGCTACCTTGCTAACATAACTGCCTGACTAACAGGATTGTCATCTCTAAGTGAGTCACTCTAATTATACGTGTAAACGATTCACTGACTAATTTTTATTTATGTAATTGTCAATTACGTTTACTACCTAGATAACTCACCGACGTAATTAATTTAATATTTTAATTAATCTGAAATTTCTTAGCGAAATGAAGCCAAGCAAATCAGTTGACTTCATAAATCAGCAAAAAGTCAAAGTAAGTATTTTGTATTTGAGATGTCTGACGAAAGAATTTAGTATAAATGCCTCAATAGTAAATTAATTGTTTGGCTGAATTTCCATGTTTTTAACAGGAAGTTATAACCGCTCACTTCCTTTGTGCCCGTTTCGTTGTGCGCCACTCCACCACCGCTCACTTCTTTGGGTTCTTTACTTTAATCAGTAGAGCTGGGTTCCTATCCCAGGGTCTTATAAGGGTCTGGCTCGGACAGGGCAGGAAGAACACTTCACTACAATCACCCACCTTTCGACGGTTGCACTTAGTAGTCCTTTAATCCCTTCCAGCTTTCTGCATACAACTGAATTTATTAATACTATTGATTTGAACTGTACTTATACTATTTTACGGAAGGGCCGTAGTGGTAAATTTAGTGTCCGACTTTGCCGAAAGTAGTGTCAAGACTTTCCGAGGTGGAATCCCTCTCTCTGAATTCTGAGGTCCACGAACCCCAGACTCCAAGAGAAATCCACTCCTCCACTTCTGCCATTGGTTAATTTCTCAAACTAGGAGGTTCCCTAAATTTTGAATTCCCAATCATGTTGCTCTGCTATGTGATTCTGGCAGATGCTGACCTGACGCTAAGGATGACAGCCCCTTGATGCATTACGGTCAGGGTGTGAGGCTCCGACCGTCCCACTTCTAAGTTATCGCTGTCCCAAGCTGTCAGCTCTCATTTTCTCAAAGCCTTTCCGACGTTGCTGAAACTGCCAGAATTCCAGGAAAGTACCAGATGTTACTTCCTGTTCACATAGCAGAACTTGAACTATGTCCCTTCCGCGTGTAAGAGCTGGCTATCTGCCGGATCTCTTTGTTTGTAATATTGTTAATCTTAACTTAATACAAGATTTAATTTTCACACAACACTCCTCCAGTCAGAATGGACGGTTACAAAGTCAACAAAAGTAGATGGACACTAAATAATTTCCTAAAAATCTATTAAATGCATAATAATCCGCCATTCTCTGTCAATTCCGCAGTAATTTGTTTCAAAACATGTCCCAAATAAAATAATTTGTTTCGTATTCCTTGTTGCAGATCTGCCTGAATTGGGGCACAGGACCAGCAAGCAGAGCCATCTCTATTCCGTATCCATGAAGCTGGCAGCTCAGAGATGCAATAACTGCTCTTCTGGCAGCATGTATGGCGTTCAGAGGAAGCTCAGTATCGACAGTGACGACCTGACAAGTGGAAGCTCTGTCCACTTGAGATTCCGGTGTTGTAGCGCTAGCCACTTCAAGTGTCACGTTTAGGGTTTTAGATTTTGGACTCCTGAAGGTATAACCGTGTCCCAAATTAAGAGTTTAATAAAAAGGATCATGTTTAAATACGATTATCTTTCGATATCTTTTAGTGAATGAACAACCTCAATTGACAGTATGAATAAATATAGGAAAGCGAAAGAAGACACAGAACACTATATTACTAGTAAAATTATTATTTATTCAAATCAATGAAAGTATATCCCTCGAAGATTTTTTTTAGTCTTAGAGTATTGAATCCAAATTAACAATACAGCATGTAAAATAGTAGTGTACATATGATATTATAATGCACACCTATTCTTTGAATTAGGTGGATTGGAAAAACAACAAAACTGACAAATTATTTAGCTGAAAAAACATATAAAAATCCTATATATACAGAAAGATATAGTATCATTTAGATATATGAAAAATTTAAATGTCGGTTTGATGAGAGAGACGTATGACAAATTCCAGTGTCCATCGTGATGTATGAAACAAAGTTTAGGCATATATATTCTGAAGAATAATTGAAGGAATAGTTTAAAATTTCAGTCACGTTATTGATATGTTTAACATGACTTGGGTGCAGAAAATCTAGACCAAAGAAATTAACGAAACGTGTGTCAGTCGTCATGACTATACACTCAACTAGATTTATGTTTACAAGCACGACCAGGGCGTTTACTTAGAATAAATCTTGTGCGATATTCTTCGGCATGCTGAGAGACGTAAGGTTATTCCCCATTACTCTGATCTACGTATCAGTGCTGCTATCTGGACGCGAGGTGCATTGCGAAGTCGGCGTGTTGCCACAACATGAGCAGGAGCAGCAGAGGATCTCTGCCTTGCTGAAAGGCGACTTCATTATCGGAGCCCTATTCTCAGTGCATCACCAGCCGAAACAGAAGCGAGTAGGCAACACACTCAAGTGTGGTCGGGTCCGAGAGATGTACGGGATCCAGCGGATCGAGGTCACTTTCCAGACGATCGATCGCATTAATAACGATCCTACGATCTTGCCGAACGTGACGCTTGGTGTGGAGATCCGAGACTCGTGCTGGTACGCACCGGTCGCTCTGCAGCAGAGCATCGAGTTCATCAGGGACTCCATTTCTCCTGCGACGCCAGCAGACACGTGCAGCGTTGATCAACAGGTGAGGACTCGCCCAGGGTCTTCCGTCACCAGTTGGCAGTCATTCAGTTACTTGTCAGTAATCATTACATTAGCCACTTAGACTGCCTATTAATTCAGTTTGCAATTGTGTAGGTATGTGTGTTTGTATGTACGTAGGCATTTATCAACATTTCACGGTATTGATTTTGTGATGATATCCGGAACACGTTTATGCAGTCCATCTCAGGACTATACCAGATCTAGTGGCAGGAATTCAACCAGCTGTGACAATAGTCGATGCCAGCACGTTAAGGTGTGTTCGAGAAGATGCCGCACCGCGCACTGTCGTCTGCCTGGAAACGGAGCGAGGACACTTGTACTAGTAAGACATTGTAACTGCAAGGCGCCCGTGGTCTGATCTTCTGATAGCTTATGCAATTCTACGGTGACATATTTCTTGAAAACTAAACGTCACAGGACATATGTTGTACGAGAATTTCTACTTGTTAAAACAAAGAATCATAGTATTGAGACTTTGTGGACGAATTTCGCTTCACTCTGCGTTTACTGCTGCATATGCAAATCTAGGACGGGCCATGCTGCGGCAATGATTTGCTTGAAAATCTAATCCTAACCTGTTTAAGATCCTATAAACAGGCTAATGAATTCTGAATTGAATGGCGGGCAATAATAACGGCGATTCATTTGCTAATTTGACCCTCTGTATAGGTTTCTCAGGCAGTGAGGTGCGAAATGTTGCTAGAATTTCTGTTTTCTGTGTTAGGACAATAAATAAAACATGCGATCCTCCCTTAAATGTGCTGTTGAGAAACCTGAAGCTACTCCGCACTAGATCCTTATTACAGCGGGCTCAACATTTTCTTTCTTGTTTGGCGTAGAAAGCCTTAAGGGATGTTTTACGTTCCATTTGTGAGGTTGGCTGTTACGTACCCCAAGGTACATGGAACTTCTTAATGAAATAAAGCTGCATACACGTTTATATGTTTGTATGAACCTGCGTACAAATATACTACATACATATAATGAGTATTATGTGGTGATGTATGCATATGCTCGTGTATGTATATGAATACATGTGTGTGTGTTGTATGTATATGTGCATATGAATATATACAAACATATGGATGGATGGAAGGGAGGATATAAGGATGGATATATGCATATAAGTAAATTTGTACGTACTAGGCCATGAAGATATATGGTCGAATGAATGCTTAATTCTATATATTCTTGATCTCGGCATTAGTTGGAAGTGAGTCGTGAGCTTCACACTTCAGCCGCTTTACCCCCCGGAGAGAGAACCCCCGTACCCATTGAATAGGAGTTTGGGTGGGCCCCAGAACCGGTCTTGACGAGGAGAGGAGAAAAATGTTGCAACTACAGGGACTCGAACCCCGACTCCTCGGCCGTCTAGCTCATAGGCAGTCGCTGTACCGACTGCGCTATCCATTATGCATTATGGATATATTTATATATGGGTTATTAATGTATAAATGTGTTTAAGATCCATGTATAAATATTATTTAATTATTTCTTCTAGCAGCGAAAGGGAATATAGTATTTCCCTTTGCCTCCCGTGGGTCCGGATCGGCTTTTGGGGCCAACCACCCTACTGTTCAATAGATACTGGTGGTCTTTCCGGGCGTGTAGGGGTTTGAACTCACCTTCGTCTGTAGAAGTGACACAGTAAAAACGCTTTGACGTTTGCATTCCGTCTTACAAACGTGTCTACGACTTAATTTTATCTTCTGTGTATCAAACCTCTCGTGAATACGTCAAGGATGAAAACATGGGAGGGAACTGATAAATGAATACCAAAATGTTATCGTAATATCCGAAATAAAGGAAACACTTTGGAGCCATAAGCATGTATAAACTCTAAGAACCAAAATATTTTATGTTCTGCAGCCGAAATCGAGACGTTCGCCACTTGAGAACGGCGTGAAACGACGCAGAACGCCTCTGGTGGGTGTGATCGGACCCGCTTCAAGCTCTGTAGCTATCCAGGTGCAGAACTTGTTGCAGCTGTTTCAAATTCCGCAAATCGGCTACTCTACCACCAGCAAGGACTTGAGCGACAAGAGCCGGTTCAGCTATTTCCTTCGTGTCGTGCCGTCTGACTACTATCAGGCGCAGGTTATGGTCGACATCGTCCGGAAATACAACTGGACCTATGTATCCGCAGTCAACACTGACGGTGAGTAAGCTGTGGAGACCCCCAAACATCAGTTCAATTCCTACATAAGTGTGTGAGTTAAATGAGATAGTAACCTATACGTAGAGATATAAACCATCTTACTCCTGCATAAGAAATAGAGGGTGATTCTAAATTATTGTCGGGATTTCCATGGCCTATAAACGGAAACACCGACAGTAATTTAGAATCACTCTGTATATTGAATAAATTGTCTCACACTTTCGTGCTGGAAAATAGAGCTCACTTCCCTGACGGTTGTAAGCGAAGGACATCGAATAACGTCACGACAATTGTTCCTGGGAGAGTAAGATATCAGTTCTTAATATGCAGCCTGTCCTAACTGCAGCGCAAATATTTCGCAAAGACTGAAGTTACTTCCAGAGCCTAATTACCTCATAACTGTGCAAGCATAAGATTTGTTTCATTCCGGTCCGTCACACTAACAATATCATGAAAAGTTAAACAGTTCCGTCCAGTGTGACAGGTGAAGATTTTTCTTATTTCAATTATTTATGTCCTTGCATGTTTCGGTCTTCAGAGACCATCATCAGAGGGACACCTTTACATCAATACAGTTGGAAAAAGACAACACGAAACTACTTGGTTTATAAATTCCAATAGAATCTTAACAAACCAATTTAAATATTTTAATGTATTGGAACAGCCGCTGTAGTTGTAGAAACTTTAGATTTTATACTCAATTATATATTAATATTATATTTTATATTTTCATGTTCAGAACATTTATTGTAATATTAACTTCCAACTGTATTGATGTAACAGTGTCCTTCTGATGATGGTCTCCGAAGACCGANAGAGACCATCATCAGAGGGACACCTTTACATCAATACAGTTGGAAAAAGACAACACGAAACTACTTGGTTTATAAATTCCAATAGAATCTTAACAAACCAATTTAAATATTTTAATGTATTGGAACAGCCGCTGTAGTTGTAGAAACTTTAGATTTTATACTCAATTATATATTAATATTATATTTTATATTTTAATGTTCAGAACATTTATTGTAATATTAACTTCCAACTGTATTGATGTAACAGTGTCCTTCTGATGATGGTCTCCGAAGACCGAAATATCTAAGGGCATAAATAATTGAAATAAGAAAAATCTTCACCAGTCACACTGGACTGAGCTGTTAAATTTTCATGTACGAGCATAACTAAATCCTTGGAGCACGGCTCTTCTTGAGAAATTTCTAGTTACTCACATAGCCAAGAAATTTCCCATATTTTCTGTTTGTTTTATATGTATTTTAATATTATCCGCTTCTAGGTCTCCTAATTTGTAATTTCCTTCAGGTTTCCTGGCTGCGACTTCGTATCTTTTCCAGAAACACTAACATTCCTGTATATATATAATGCAGGAACGTATTTTCGGACCTGCATTTCAATAACTTTATATGTTGTGTGTTGTTTATTCTGACTTTTCTGCAGATATGAATCGTCTACGTAAATCTGAAACCAATTTATGCCTCTGCTTGCACGAGTTGGTAATTATATACCCTCATATTTGCGATCTTCTCGCAAAAATTATTGCACACGCGTGTTGTGGGCTTCTGGGTTATTACATTTTGCAATGTGATGGGTGCGTACCAGCGTTTTGAAAGAACATATTGTTCCCGTCTCTACTGTGAGGTTGAAGCTAATAGTTGCTTCGAAACGGTTGTCCTCAACCACTAGATTATGATGTCTCAGAGGGCAACAATATTATTCTTGAAGAAAACAGTCTTCTGGGATTTGGCACCGTGTATATGCGGTGTTAACCGACGTTTCGTAGGAACGTATCGCCCTCTTCTACCCTGAAGATGGAGGCGATACGTTCCTCCGAAACGTCGGTTAACACCACATATACACGGTGCCAAATCCCAGAAGACTGCTGTCTTCATAGTCACCGCCGTGAAAGCCTCAAATCTTACAATATTATTCTTGCCTGCTTGAGAACCACAAATATTACATCATTAAATTACTTCATGCTGCATGTATGTCCTACTATAGACGTTTAATAAATATGAATTCGCACAAGACACAAGATGTGGGTGAACATATTTCGGTAAAGGAAGCAAGATGCTACAGCTCACACAGGATCGGGCTGAATAACGGTGGTGGGTCGCAGACATGATGAGAATGCTTAACATCTTGTCACTTCCCCGTTATTACATGAAACTAAAATGAATTCGATGTACTAGGGCTCCACCGCTTCATAGAAGGGGAATTGCTCAATCGCGCTCCGAGAAACCTTTTTCAATTTGACCAGTGAAGCAGACATTCCAGATTCCCTTCAAACGCAGGAAAAGCAAGGCCTTTGCCGCTCTTTTGAATAAAGAATGGAGAAGTTAATATGGTGAAGTTTCTTTTACACTCTTTTTGTGAAAGCGTGAAGCTGTTATCATTGGACAAACCCTAAAGAAAGGGGAATGCAAAAAGAATGACCGCAAAACAGTTTTGCTCATGATTCGTGGGGCGGCACTGAAGCACCGTGCTCAAATAAAACATAATGTTGAGATACTCATGTTACCCTAAGTAAAGAGCAAAAATTGACGTTTCAGATTGAGTTCCTCTAGGTCGTGACGCCGTACGTGCATAATAACCTTTCGGAGGAACATGCTATTTCTATCCTCAGGATTAACTGGACTGAGGATTCAGGATGTTTCAGAACAATTCATTCATCTGTAATCTGTCACATCCCTATGAGCCCCCACGGCCTGTTACGGGGATACCTTTAAATATATTAACAAAAGATACAGAGGATATGAATCTCAGACCCAAAATTTGAGGCGTATTCGATCCGTATTTGTGTATTGCTCTACAGACAGAGAGGTAGACACTTTTAGTAAGTTAGATAAACATACACAATGTTGTGATATACTTTATTTTGTGGCACACCTCTCTAATTCCCCCCGAAATTAGGCAATGTTCCACAGATAGTTTCAACAGTGCTTCACAGATGGCTCAATTTTGGAGCCATCTGTGAATAACTGTTAAAATTATCCCCCTTGGATCTATCTACGGGTAAATCTGAAAATAAACCGTGGAACACGTACCTACTTTTATGACGAATGTAGGGTGTAGTTACATGAAATAATGGAGGCCCTGTGACGAAATTGTTTAAGTTTACCCCAATTTCCTCGGTTATCTTTCGAGCCTGAATTTAAAATACACATCTCATTTCCGCGCATGTTGCGTAATGGTCTTGACATTAATTAAAAGAGCGGAAATGAATATTGTTAATAGTCAGATGCTGTTTAATATTTATGATTTAGTTGCGAGTGGCGGAATATAACCACCAGGAAGTACAAATAAATGAGAGCTTTATTACTCTTGCAATATCATTGATGTTTAAACCAGTTTACTTGTGTAGTTGGCATGATCTAGCCTGCTTACTTAGCGGTGACGTTGTGGGCTTGTATTCGATAGGTTCCCGGATCGAATTCTGACCGGTTGACCAGTTACACCGACTGGATTGTACTGCAGTTTTCCTCAGTTTCTGAAGACGAACTCGGGGATAGCACCTCATAACAGGTTACGGCCGACTCATCGTAATAGCCGAGGAATTCGGCTTATGGCCGCGCCATAGCTCAAGCGGTTAGTCGCTGGCTTCCCACCGCGGCGGCTCGGGTTCGATCACGGGTCTGGTCAAGTGGGATTTTTAGTGAACAAAGTGGCGCTGGGGCGGGTTTTCTCCGAGTACTTCGGTTTCCCCTGCCAATCTTCATTCCACAAATTGCTCCACAATCACTCTCGCCTATCATCTGGGGCTGGTACAATAGGCCAGAAGTGGCCGCAGCACAAGGTACTTAGTCCCACCCCACTAGCAATAAAGAAAATACAAAAGGGAAGATTACAAACGCCTCGTCAAGTACAATGAGTGTATACAGAAAGCGAATGAGGAGAACGTTATAATTATAATTTACACGAAGCAGACTGAGAACTAGATCGTTGAGTCACGTGCTGGAAGACATCGCGAAAAGAGGAAAGAGAAGGCAATGAAATATTATGGGAGAAAACTATATTAGAACAAGTCAAGCAAGATACTTGTTGGTATCCGGACATTCGACCCACAGTTTTTAACCCTTGACTATTGATCAAACTAAGGAAAAAAGGTAAAGTTGTTCCTGTGCTTAACTAATTAAGTCTTAGGGCGGCCACACACCAACAGAGTCAAGACAAACATCAAGACATGAGAAAAAAGACGCAGTCTTGCTTCATTCGTGATTGGTCAGCATGAAGCTGACTTGAGCATCATGACTCAGACCGGTGTGAGGCGGTTTTCATAATGTCATTACTTCCAACAGTGCTCCTTTCTTTGCGTCATGTCGCAGACAACATGTCATGACTGTTGTATGTATTGACGCATTCCGGTGTAGGATGAAGACGTATGTGGGAGTGGATGTATAGCTTCAACTTTCTTGATCTCTGCACTAGATGGAGGGCAGTGGTCAGCTTCACGCCTTGGTCGAATAACCACCGGGAATTCGCCCTTGGTACCAATTTGATAGCAGGCTGGGAGGACCCCAGAGTCGGTCTCGATTCTGTGGAGTTTACCTGAAACTTCTGGTGGATCAAATCTCTGCGTCAGTATCATGAAATCTCTTTGTTAATATCATTCATAATATGAGTACATGGTGACCAGCGTTAGTGGTTCATCTTTGTTGTACTCTGATGGGTAGATTTTCTATGTGCGTTCTTCTTTCTGTACTGTAGCCAAGGATCTGACTTCGAACCATCGTATGTGTCCCTACGACTCAGCACAAATAGACTGCTTACATTTTCGATGGCCGGAGTTCTTCTCTTGACGGGAACAGAGGCTTTCCTCTTCGTTTTGCTACCAGACTGACTCTGTGGTCCACCCAGCCTTCTGTTTATCGGATGAGACCCACGACCAGAATTCTATTTTCCAACTGAACACTTGTTGTTATATTCCTTACATAACATCCTCTCTGACTAGAGGATGGGTCTGTCGTTTATAATTGCTGATGGTC